GCTTACTTGAACTCTACAATCTTAGTTAGTTAGCTTTATTTCATAAAGTAACAGTTCATATATAACAAAACAGTAGGGTGTTGAATAATTCTTTCAATTAGAATTATTGGGATTAGTGTTTTTACATAATGAAATCATGAATCAGTCGTTGTTAGACTATCTTTAGAAACGTGGAAGCAGTGGACGGCCGTTTCTTCTTGGTCTGGGACTCATCAGTAGTGATTGATAATTTTAATGTGTAAAGACACTGATCTCCATAACTCCGATTAAAAAAAAATCGTACAATGTGCTTACTACTGACTAGCTTCATGAAGAAATTCTTGGAGTTCTAGTGAGGAAACGTGATCATTGGACTTCAGCCCTGTCAGGTGTAGACAGTCACTACAGAAGATAAGTGGCTGAGGTTGCGCAAAATCCTTAGATAGATCGGAGTTAGATATCTACACTGGTCTATAGGTTAAGCGTTCCTGCGCGAGGCCGAAGGTCCTGAGTTCGAATCCTGTGAGTAACAGAAGTCGTGAGTGTACACAGCTGATGAGTCCCATACCAGGACGAAACGGTCGTCTTTCAGAGCTCCTAGGCTTCTCATGGTGGTCTGACAATAATTGATTCATGATTTCACTGTATTAAATAATCAAAAAAAAAAATACTTGAACTATAGACTAAATATGATGATTGTACAGTTAAAGTAAATGATATTATCATCAGTGAATTGCCCTTTCTCTTCTCTTCCCATAAAACACATAAGGTTTTCTTTTGTTATTTAAAAGATGATTATTATTTTTTTTTAGTTGAAAAATAGAAAGGTTGTTTTTTGTTTAATTGAAATTCACAAATGTTTTTGACTGTTCTAATGAATATATTTGTAGGATGTGATGACTTTTATTGTAAGTGTGTTAAATGGACACTAGTATATAAGTAAAAAATAATTGAGTAGCAGTCCACTAGAAGAGGATGAGATAGATGTGGAAATGAGTTCACTGTCAGTTTGAAATCAACGTAAGCATACTTTTCCTTTCTAGAAAAGAATTTATTTGAGACAGACTATGTGGTCTTATTGAAAAACATCAATGATTTCCATGCCTAAAATTGACTTGGAAATATAATTTACTGTGTAAAAAATATGTTTATCAGAAAATTTGAAAATTTGTAGAAAAAAATAATGAAAATTCAGTTTCATTTTAGTCTCTCATAGTTTTCAACAATGACTTTTATTCATTCATTTTTTTGTCTCAATATCTTATGGTATGTTTAAAACATTCTCTACAAATAGATCACAGTTATCCTTTCATATTAGACGTCATATTTTGGTTAAACTTTTAAAATTTATGACGACTGAGACTAATTATTTCCGAATAAATGTGTCTATTTATGATCTTTTTAAGACTAATACTGTTTTCCAGTTTGTTACAGATGCTTCAAAATGGAATGATCATCAGTGGGGCACACTGTTCACTCATACCACTGTATCATATCATCATATTTGTTGTTTTTTGTTCGAAGTTATGAATCGATCATTGTGCACACTAAGGATTAGCTTCGTGAGGAAATTCTCAGAGTTCTAGTGAGAAGCTGTGACCAGTGGAGTTCAATCCTGTCGGGCATAGGGCAGTTATCTGCCAAAGACAATGGATGAGGTCGCACAATATCGTAGATTGATTGATGTTAGACATGAACACCATTGGATTCCGACTCAGTTGTTTAAAGGTTAAGCGTTGTAGCGCAAGACCGTAGGTCTTGGGTTTGATTATCGCGAGCGGGGTCGTGGATGCGCACTGCTAGAGAGTCTCATACTAGAGATAAACAGCCCTCTAGCGCTTCCAAGTTTCTGATGGTGATCTAATTATGATCGATTCATGATTTTAAAAGAAAAATATCAATGCATGTTGATTAATATGAAATCGCAAATATAATTAGGCATTATATTGTTTCTGCATAACAGATGCAAATAGAATGCAATAAACCTTATGGAAATCAAATCAGTGATTGAATATTTACTGATTAGTAAGAATTTGTTAACGAGAAGATAATATTTGACTGGAAGACTACATGATTGAAATACCAACATGGTGTCTGTCAATATATAACCTTCAAAAGAATAAGCTTTACCAAATATGAAATGAGGTATCATTTGACTGAGAAGCATTTACAATCTATGAAGCACACAATGTATATTTGAAGATCTTAGGATAAATATATGCTAGAATTATGTTCTATGGTAACCTGAATCTGTTGTTAGTATGGACATTTCTTACACGTCAGCCCAACCAGCTACTTGGCTGAGAAAATGAAGAGTTAATAGGAGGCTTTTATTAGCCAACCGAATGGAAAACAAAACGCACAACTCGTTTGTAAATATATATTTCCCCTAGATAATTAGGCCAGAAGTTTAACCAATAACGTACATCCATCTCTATCTCTCGCTTATGATATGAATTACGTAATTAACCGATTTTAACATTTTCTCTTTGTGGAAAATTCCCTGATTTTCGGATTCACTATTAGATGTTGAACTGAAGAGGAGGAGGAAAGAATATCAGCTATCATCAGTTCTTAAAGCTTTAAAACAAATAGTTACTTCTGAAAATTGTTAAGCTACTCACTGAAATCATGAATCGATCAATTCCCGACCACCATTAGAAACCTGGAAGCACTGGACGGCCGTTTCGTCCTGGTATGAGAATCATCAGCAATGAGCATCCATGACTCCTACACCTCACAGGATCCGAACTCACGACCTTCGGTCTTGCGCGCGAACGCCAAACCTTTGGACCACTGAGTCGGTATCAAACGGTGTTAATGTCTACCTTCCATCAATCCTGCGAGGTGTAGGAGTAGTAGATGCGCACTGCTGATGAGTCTCATACCAGGACGAAACAGCCGTCCAGTGCTTCCAGGTTTCTGATAATGGTCTAACATTGATTGATCCGTGTTTTCAAATAGTTATTTGATTATTACATCTGTCAGTTATACCAGTATAGTAACACTATTTTCTTGTATAATTTTAAAATATGTTTTAATATGGCTTCAATAGAAAAATTTACTTTTCATTATATTTAACTGAATTTATACTTCGTTTCAAAGTTCATATTAAATTGAAGTGTAAAAAATTGGTCGGGATATTAAAAGCGGTAACTGGTTGGTTAGGTATGTTATTATTCACAAACTGGTACATAATTTAGTTTTGCATAAACAGGTCATTTTATTTTTGTTAAATAATAATCTTATTGGACGATCGAATGAGTTGTGGTGCAATGATGAAAAAGTCCGATGTCGTATGAGTTTTTCACTGGAGTTAGATGTACACTAGACTTTGCGGGAAACACATATCACTTTAATTCAGATTACTTACTATTTCTCGGAACTGAGTGACAGTTGAAATGAATCAGAGGTAAAGAGGTCAATGAATAAACAGAATGAAAAACTAATTATTACTTTTTATTGAGTAAATATTTGTGAAAGATTATTCAATAAGTAGTTATACTTGTCTAGTTTTCTTTTTATTCTGACCAAATTTTATTGGTCAATCCACTTGTCGGCTAATTGGCCCACAAGTCGAAGTGATTTGATATAACGTGTATTATGTTATGGTTTCAAATGGTTGTACGAAGTCAATAGGTGATCCCAAGCTTAGACTTCATGCTCGATGACATTCATCTGTAAGGCAACATTAGTTTCTTTAACACTACAAACATGCCTGAATGATTGTGCACTAACAAGCATGGAACCTATGAGTCATGTCGGTAGTTGTCGACTACCTGGTTGGTGTCCGTGAGATGATAATAATCGATGGTTAGAGACCTTGAATGACATGGCTCAAAATCGTTCGCAGTGGCGCCAGTGCATTTATTCTTTGTGTTCTCTCAAATCCTAATCTTCTGGATTCTTCAACACCTCTAGTTTTGATTTTCTTAACTTATCTTACTGAATTATTCTTCTTGAATAATATCTTCTAATCCTAACCTCTCTGATTACTTCTAATACCTTTACTACTTCTACTACTATTGGATTTGAATTGGTAATTACATTTCTTTGCTAATGTGGTTTGGTAACATGAACTGATGTACTTACGTACGAAGTTCAACGTTGCATCTGACTGAACCTGTGTCGTGTGAATAGTGTAAATCTTAATCTTTTACGCATTTGTTTCCATTGATATCAATCAATCCCTCCAGTCATTTATTCTTAACGTTCAACTACTAGAATAAATCACTTCAAACCTAATTATATACTTTAACAAAACACTGAATGAATTTACTAATACGTAAAGTATCCTATTCTGATAATTTCTATTTTGCACTTCGTCAATCTTTGCCCCACAGTCTGAATGAACTCACGAGACATCACTTGACACAGAAAAGTTGAAAATGCAACCTTAGTTCAGTATTATTGTATTATCGCATGCTAATAATTACTATTCATGAGATAGGCATGCTAAAATAGAATCATACTCTTTATTCATATCTGATAAAGAAAACAAGTAAGAAATTTTTTGCATTACGGGGTTGTGAAGATTGTTAAGTTACACATTTTTGAAACCATGAATCGATCAATGTTAGATCACCATTACAAACCTGGAAGCACTGGACGGCCGTTTCGTCCTGCTATGGGACTACTCCTCAGCAGTGCGCATCCACGACTCCTGCACCCCCGCAGGATTCAAATTCACTTGATCAAGTTAGACATTAACACCGTTAGATACCGGCTCAGTGGTCTATCGGTTAGGGCGTTCGTTCGAATCCTGAGGGGTGCAGGAGTCGTGGATGCGCACTGCTGAGGAGTCCCATATCAGGACGAAACGGCCGTCCAGTGCTTCCAGGTTTCTAATGGTGATCTAACATTGATCGGTTCATGGTTTCAAAAAAAGAAATTTTTTATCTGTCCTATTTTGGTGGGTATGAATATCTACTTCAAATTAGTGAAGCGTTTTTTCTTGTCACATTTGTACAATACTTTATTTTACATCATTATTTTTACATCATTTTTTTTATTTCGTATAGATAAATGAAAATGCTGAAAAACACGAAATTACTCCATTAAATAATTTCTCTTCAAAACAGTATACAGCTCAAATTGAAGATGACACAAGATTGTACAATTTCGATCGAACATCTACTAACCTGGAATCTCAAATTAACACAGTAGAAAATATCATTTCTCAACCTTATAATTATGAAAAGTCACATAAAATTAGTGCATTAACCAATGAAAAACCCGATGAATTGAATTTTTTAGATACTCCAACTTCTACTACTTATGAATCAAATGACAGTAGTAGTCAGAAGATAGTAGTAACTTACCAGAGTACAAAATTCAAATCGAAAGGAAATCAATTTCCACATACATCATCATTGCCTATTGATAATAAACTGGCAGAGAATAATTCTGTACAAAGGGAAGAAAAACTTGAGAATACAACAACAGAAGGAGACTTATGCTATTCAGACAGAGTTGAATTATGTGATCACGTGATGTCAGCAGTAGTGAATGCCAGTTTATCATTGGATAATAATAATTTTTCTGCCTCTCTTATTCAAAGCCCAGATGATGATGATGATGATTATATGGGTGAGAAGAACAGTGTTATTCATAAAACTCTCTATCCTTATGATCAATGTGAACAACAACTAACATCCATTGGCAACAATCAAACTTACGCATGCATTGACCGTGATAAACAGCAGCAATACGCATTGATTAATAATTTTGGAGAGGAAAGCAGTCACTTGAAATCCACCAATGATTATGAAGAGAGGAAAAGTTCTAGTAGAAAGTCAAATGAAGTTTTGCCAACTTCTTTTTTAGCATATAATAATTACAATGATGAATCCTTAAACTATCCAATTGATCAATCAAATTCTAACAACTCACAATCGTCTCTTCATAAATTTCAATATTTCAATAAATTTCAAACTGAAACTTGTAATGAAATAAAATCAAACTATGATGAAAGGAATACACTAAACAGCAAACAGAATGAAATTCAAAAATTTACAGTTTTAAATAATCTCGCCTCGCCAAGGTCATTAGAAAAATCATCTTGTAGAACTGACGTGGTTACATCTGAATTAGCTCAAAGTTTACTCACTACTTCTTCTTGTAACAGAACTACGTCGATTTGTATTGGAATAAATCAACCTACATTCACAACTTCTTCATCTACATTATCATTCATAAAACCATTTTGTTGTTTTAATGAAAAAGTATTAAAACGTGCACAATTAATTCTTTCCAATTCACCAATCACTAGCGAACCTGATCCAACTGATACACTTTTAGCACTAACTGATACTACTACTACTACTAATAATAATATTATTAGTAATTTTGACAGATCACATGAAACAAACTTATGCAAATCATCAATTAAAAATTATTTCCTTTCTTTATCTTGTCCGCAATCATTAAGTAGCCAACCGATAGAGGATAATTATGATACTTCATCGGAATGTAGTGATTTTTCAATTCATGTGCCTATTTCAAATTCAATAGTCAATGAAAATGGTTCCAATGAATCGAAATTATCATCACTTTTAAATTTTAAAGAATTTTATGCTAATAGACATTTATGGGAACCAGTTCATTCTCAATGGTATATACATATTTTAAAACGTATAACTGAAGAAACATTATTAACTTCAATACCGGAACAATCAGTTAATAACGAGAATTTTCCTACGGAATATATGTCCTCTTCGTCCAGTTCACGTGGTTCATATTTTACACATCATAGAAGAAGACCACATTCTTCTGCTTATAGTTATGAAGTGAATAGTTTAATAGATGATTTTTCTGGAGTTTATGAAAGTCCGAATTCATCATCATCGGTAGCTTATTCTGGACCATCTTACAAACATAGATCTTTACATGATGTTTATCCGGATAGATCAATCAAACCATTGGATGACAACTATCGAACAAATTCAAAATTATCTTCAAAAAGTAGTCTTAAACATCCTCCCTATGGTGGGGATATTCAATCGTATAGATCATACTCTGAAGCCGGTACATCATATCATCAACATCATCCTCAAAAAGAGAAAACAAATTTAGCATCCATTATTCGTTATGATCGTCGAAATAAATTAGGATTAAATCATCATCATTCTGCCGGTCGTTTAAAACACTTCAAATCAAATGATATTGAAAGTGTTTTACAACAAAGAATATTAAAAGATTCTAATCGAAATGCCAAACTATTCCCAAGTACAGAATTTGATAAACAAAGAAATTCAACGTATATAACAACTCCTCGATTGAATAAAAATTATGAAGAATATGAAAGAAATCATAGATTAAAAAGAGGTGTTTTAAGAAGTTATACACCAACTTATAAAACATTTTATACACCACAAACAAAATGGTCCAATGATAATAATAATAATTTTTTAGAAGTTGGTTCATATTTCTCCTTACCTTTAAATGATTATCGTAGAAAAGGAACAAAACATTCACGACCTACAATCAATAGTCAACATTATGGTCCAGAGTTTTCATTACATCGAAAAATTCCATCTGATGAATGGAGTAAATCAGATCATTTATCTCGAAGAATTGGTAATCTATCAAAATCAACTGGTCATTTAAGTCATTTGGATGATTTAAATAGAATGTCAGGTTGTACATCAATGCAAACTTTACGAGCACGATTAGCTGCTGCACATTCAGAATTTAATTTAGACAATCGTGAAATTGCAACCGATTCATTTGAATCACAAAGATTGAATGATGATAGATTTGGTTCACTTGATCGTAGGATGGATTCAAATGATTTTACTACACGACAACTAAGGCGACAAATTGAACAACATCATCGTCGACTATTGAAAAGTTTAATGAATGATGAACCGTATGAAACTAGTTGGCCATCAAGTTTTTCAAATTGTGATCTTCAAGGATATTTAAATTCATATCCAAATGATGTTACAGAAATGCAACCAACCACTCTTATCTCATCGACTTTAGCTCCACCAATATTCTCGACAGCTTCAACAAGACTTCCGTTAAATGTTGAAGCAGGTAAAATCGATGACAACATAGTAGTAGGACCTTCAAACTATTTATCTACAAATGATCAACAATTCTTGTCTGTACCAAATATGTTGACTACATCGAATATGAACTCTACCACTCCAGTTCTGTTATCGAACCAGTTGCCTTTAACAACAAACAATGTAGCTGATAATATAATGAATAGTAGTACCATTATCAATCAGCCTACATCAATTAATTTAAATGAACAAATGCCAATTTCAAATAACGCCTTATTTGAACTTATTAATAATCCTGAATTTTTACAAGCTCTTTCATATAATCCAACACTTATTAACCAGTTGAATTCTATGTGCACAGATCTTGAACCGGCTGATTTAAATCAAGTAACTTTAGCAGCTGTTGCTGGAGCGATTGCGGCCACAGCTGTGGCTGGTTCTGGAATGTTAGATAATAGTAATAATAATAATAATACTATTGATAACATCAATAATATTAATACATGTCAACCGACTAATCAATACGTTATAGATAGTCTACTTCAGCATATCAATACATCAGATCAAATGAATACTGGAAATGTCATTTCAAACAACAACACTAACACTGACCTGATCAATAATGTTTCATCAATCAACTCAAATTATTTAAACACGATGAATTTACCAAAAAGTCATCTTCTTAATGAAGGTAACGATGGTAATATTTCAAGAATGAATACCACGCTACCTAAAGAGAATGGTTGTCTAGATGCTATCAATCCTGAGTCGATTGATGTACTGATTGAACAAGTACGCAAATTATTAGCTGAACAAAATAATTGTGACTTGATTAATCCAACATCTACAATAAGTAGTATGGGTAACAATATTAGTAGTAATATGCCTTCCACTAATACTAATAATCAACTAATCTCATCATTGCCATCATCGTTAATTCATCAAACAAATCCATCGATTATGACTGGACAGAGAGTACAGCCTCCTTTAAATCGGTATTGTGAGAATAATCAATATTCTTCAAGACACCTACATAATCAACCAGTGATCAATCAACAACAACAACAACAACAACAACAATCACACATTAAAACACCAAGTGAAACTGTTGATAATTGGCTTGGATTAAGTGAAGATGAATGGAATTATAAGAATTATAAAGGTAAGATAATCTATTGCGATCAGTGATTATTTTGTTTGAAAAATTGCAATTAAGATAACTTTTTTATTGGATTTAAAGACTTTACTATTCATTTGTAAAAAGTAATCTTTGGTGAGCAAGCTAAAAAAGTATTTAGTTATTAGATAATTTGTATTACGGGGTTGTGAGGATTGTTAAGTTACACATTTTTGAAACCATGATGGTCTAACATTGATCGATTTTGTGGTTTCAAAAATGTGTAACTTACCAGTCTTCACAACCCCGTAATGCTAATTACCTATGCTCACTAGTGACTAGCTTCGTGAGGAATCTTCTCAGAGTTCTAGTGGGAAGACGTGACCAGTGAACTTCAACCTGTTCGGGTGTAGACAGTAATTACCAAAGACTGTGTATGAGGTTGCTCAACTCCGTGAATTTGATCAAGTTAGACATTAACACCGTTAGATACCCGCTCAGTGGTCTAACGGTCAGGGTGTTCGCGCACAATACCGTAGGTCCTGGATTCGAATCCTGCGGGGTGCAGGAGTCGTGGATGCGCATTGCTGAGGAGTCCCATATCAGGACGAAACAGCCGTCCAGTGCTTCCAGGTTTCTAATGGAGATCTAACACTGATCGATTCGTGGTTTCAAGAATATTAGATAATTATTAGAAAAGTTTATTTCTGAAATATGGAAGAAATCATGCTTCGAGTAAGATTTGATCAAGGAAAATGGTTTGTAATATGCTAGATCTTCTCTAAAGTATGTTAACGGTAAAAAAACCCAACTGAATGAGATTAAATGGAATAAACTGATATACACAGTGTCTAGGTTAGACTAATGTATAAAGTTAATAATACAATATTCTCTAGATATTAATGATTTCAAAAAACTGAAAAACAAGGTTATATCTGTTTCAGTTTTCTTTGAACTTTGTAAGAAAGGCTTTTTATCATCTGTAACTTGACTGGCTAAATAGTAACTTCTCTGTCTGTGTCATGATCGTCACTAAGTATGCATGAAGCTATTACGGGTTCATCTTATTCGACAAACGAGAACGAGACAGTGAACCAGCGTCCAGGTAGGCTACTCTGATCCTTTGACTAACGAAAAGTCTTCATGTAGTGCAGAAAAGTGTATTCTATAAACACCCAGCGAGCACAATACAATCAAGCACATCATAGAAATGTCCTTAGGAGAGTCACAAAACAACACACTAAAATACACAGAAACCAATCACAGCCAAGGATTTTCCTGGTGGGAAATGCGATCTCAAGGTCAACTGATCAGCCCACGCTCGGAAACATAAAATGCTAAACTAAGGCATTTATCAAGCGAGATCTGGGGATCTAACTTGCCCAACAGTCTGTGATTTATACTTCTTGAAAATACTTCCGTCAATAGTTTCACTACCTCTACTACTATGAGGTTTGAAGTGACAATCCCATCTCTCTGTGCTAATATGGTACACACGAAGTTCTACGTTGTAACTGAATAACTGACTGATTGTCTGTGATAATGAGTCAAGCTGGTTTGAATCCAGCCAATAGTGTCACTTCTTTGAAGATTGAAGATAAAGTTTATTGATGAGACTCAACTGGCACAAAATCTAGACCTAAATCTTGTTAATGATTGGATTCAATCATTCAACATTATATATACATTGATTTACGACATTTATTCACTTGATGGTAATTAATGATAAGATTGACTACATCACAGAGATTTGTTGTTAAATAATACAGATTCACTTGTTATCCAATAATCATTGACCTAAATTCAAATATTTGATTATTAACATTAGAAAGAATTAGTTTTAAAGAGAGTTTATATTTCTCATTAATGAAATAAACCCATTGAATCATTGAAGAAAATTTCTATTTTGACGATGTAAAAAGTATCAGTAGGAGAGTAGTGACACATGGTACGATCAGTTAATTTATTAGCCCTGATTAAATTCCATCAATCAAACCGTAAGCTGGAATGAATCAATATAGTATGAATTTTTTTGAGAGTGCATTATGTACCAATATGTCAAACCCATGAAGCTTGTCTTAGCCTTATTTTAATTAATCCATTCTTCTTACGTCTTTCGACTTTGTCTAGTATTCACTCATAACCTTGGTTGTTTTTATTTGTGTCTGCATGCTTACCTCTCTTACTACATCTTTAACCTGGCCAAAAATACTTAGTCATGCCTCGTTGTATTGATATAGTTCACTTGCTTTCTCTAGCTTCACTTCTCTTTACTTCTAAGCCTTTTATAATCATGTCTGTCTGCGTGAATGATTCCATGAAATAAACCCATCCGGTTGAATCCGTATTTGACCTTTTATTGCCGTCGTAATACACAACACAGATTCCTCCTGATTATGATAGACGAAAATGGAATAGGAAATTTATTTCATTGCATAATCTGATCACTCGTCCTACTTTAAAATTCAATGCAACCACTGAAAGAGTTTCGGTGGTTATAGATGGTCAACCATTTTGTGAATGAAAATATTCACGTAGTGATCTATTTGTAAGTTCTTTTTTTCTTGTTAACTTAGATTAGTTTACATACTGTAGTGAACGAGAACACAGGTGAGGGCAACCGAATTGTATTTAACGAAAATTACAGAGTTACTCAGTAAAATAGGAAAACCATATCGTAAATCGTTAATTTGCAAATCTTCAATCCATCATCAATCCATTGTCTGACATTTCATCACTTATTCATGCGTTTCATACAAATTCCATTGTGTTCCCACTCTTCTTCCTTTCTTGATCTTCCCTCATCTTCTGCTGCCAGACATTACGTTTACACTCACGTCATATACTACTTATAAGTAGCGCGCACCACAATACTACTAGAAAATTTACATAAATCTATTTCATCTATCATTACTTGATTAAATAAGAAGACATTTTAATCTTGAATTAAGTTTCGATTAAGTATTATCATCATCTTCAAATAGATTTAGTAAAAAAACACTGAAAGCTTAAGTTATCAATATTCATTAAATAATCTTTAGTTTTCATGACAGTTAATTCTCTTTATGTATTTGTCAGAGACGTAGTTAGTTATATGACTTACAATTGACAGAACTCAATCAGATTCTACACTGCTTACAATGAATAGTAATGTTGAATTACTTTTCTTGAATTGATGAAGTATACCAGCGAATCATAATAGTACCATAATCCCTAGATGATAAAATTGACTGCCAGAAAATTCATTCATTCAGTCAACAGCTTCATTTTGTCAATCAAAACTAAAATAATCCTTTTCACTACTACATTAACAGTATACAAATAAAAAATAAAAAAACACCGGAGATGGTACATACTGTCCTGGACTCTTTTTTTTTTTGTATTGTCATTCTGTCCTAGTTAACATACAAATACATTCTACTGTACACGTTTAATCCACTTTGAGTTATAACGAAAAAAACTTGACACAATTCGTGATCAATTATATTCAAGTATCAATTTTGATATCACCATTGAATATTCACTCACGAAATATACAATATATATATATTCGTTATAAAATTTTCTTTTATTTAACACTGAAATATTCTCTTCTGTTACTTTGTTTTTCATTTTACGTGCAAATGTTCGTTAGTGTATGTGCGTTTTTTCAGTTGTTATTATTATTGTTGTTATTTCAACTACAAAAATTTATTCTTTTTCAAATAATATTTGGTTTTTTGTCTTTTTTCAGTTTGCCAATTATTTTTTCTTTTTATTGCTCTCATCAAATCAATTCGATTGGGAAAAATAAATTAGGAAAATAAAAACAAATCCAAATTTATGAATGTAGTTGAATAACGGAAGTATTGATTGTTTATAGTGTGTTAGTGTATTTTCCTATTATAAAAGACTGAGTGGTTGGATTGGTTAGGTTTGTTGAAAAGATACCGAAATAGATTGTTTCAAAGTAATAAAAGCATTCTGTTCGATTATTCCCTTAGCGCTATTACATAAGTAGACAGGTAGAAACAAGGCAGAACTTCGTACGTAAGTACATCAGTTCAGGTTGCCATATCACATTAGCACAGAGACGCAAGTGTCGGTTCAAATCCAAGAGTGATAGCGATAGTAGAAGTATTAGTACTTCATCTATTGATTTGCCATCCCTACCTAGAACTCGTTTCCTAACGACAGCATTGCTTATGCGGTTGTCCCACGATATACGAGCAATGCTTCTTAAACATCTATGATCCAATACTAGTAACCTACGAAAGTCCTCTACTCTTAACGGCCATGTTTCGCATCCATAAAGTAGGACTGAATGAACTGCTGCAAGGTACACTCGTCCTTTGTTTAGCAGGTGAATATCTCGCCTGCGCCATAAGTGACGTAGGTTGGCAAAAGCCAATCGAGCATTCTGTATCCGAGCTGAGATTTTGTCAGTCACCAGGCCATCAGCACTGATGAGACTCCCCAGATATATGAAGCGGTCTACATTTTCGACTACTTCTCATTAAAATAATGTCTGCTATATAAGTATTTCACTTAGAAATGTTTCGTGTTATCAGTAATTACAATGGAATCAACGTATATAGCACGTAATTAATCTTCAATAGTCGGGCTTTACTTCTGGACAAAATGAAACCTTCGACTAATAAAATAATAAAAGTAATAATGGTCATGTCAGCAGTGGTAAGGAATGTCTTTATTAATCGTTATGAGTGTTTATAATCACTGCAGATCAATTTGAACAAGTTGTAAATCAATAACTCTGCTCATTGGGATAAGTTAGTTTGAACAGCTTTCTAAAGGATATTTGTTCAGCAAGTTTACTGTTTCTTACAATTTTGGTGATTTTCTTCTTTGTTTAGTTAGCAGGCATTTAATATTAAAGTATAATTAGAGTAGGTAAATAAGCATGCTGTCACTTGTTAACGCTTATCACTTATCACTGATCTCAGTTTGAGTTCTACTAAAAACCAGGGAAACTTGGATCGATTAAAAATATTCACAATGAGTATTGATTGATATATCTGACAATTGTGTTGAGTCTGAACCTAATAGGTGAATTTGAGTGGTCTTAGTGTCCCACATACATCCTCAGACGTCTTCTCAAAGTAAGTCACTGATCGACAACACAACTATAAATTCAAGGATTAGATTTAATAATGATCAGTTTAACTTAGTTTACAACGTTTTTGTTCATAAGTCGTTGAAAGAAGTTTTCACAAAGGACATTGACTTAAAGTAATATGGTTAGCGTTTCATTTGCGCAATTATTTTTTTACCTGAGGTTAGGATCGGCATTTACGCGTCGAAGAGCTTCGGACGAAGTTGACTAGATTAATAGAACCACTGTAAAGTTTAAATGATAATCTATCCCAGCCCGTTCTTCTCATTAGTTCACAGATACTACCTAATTCTATTGTAAGTAGTTACAAACATGTTTATATATCTTCACGATAAAATAAGAACATACATAACAATAACATTTCATCAAGATAAATGATGGATTAAAATAGGCAACACAAAAAAATGGAACTTGTGTTTATTGTCATCTTAAAGAAATAAAAGAATGAATGAACAATTATGTCATTAATATTGTTATTTGTAATATATGCTTACAACAATTCAGTAAACATTTCTACTGTTATTATTATCTATGTTCATAATAGATAATGCGAAAAATTCTAATTCTTGGACAGACGGTAATACTACATGGCCTATATTCAATCCATTAATCAGTAATGTAAGTTAAATATTTTAACATCAGTAGTGTTCCTAATAATAACAATAATGATAATAATAGGAATAGGGATAACAGTTATTATTATTATTATTACTGTTATTATTATTATTATTGAAACAATACGAACATAAGTATTGATAATATTCCTGTTGTTTATTCTATGTGATAATGCATGTGTATATATTGACAATACTCTCGCATAGATTTTCAATTCCTATAAACTATGTATGTGCATAATCTTTGTAATAACATTAGTTTATTAACAATGAATCGTGATAAAGGATTCTAATTCAGTTTGTTGTAATACGTTACGGTATACCATCTCTCCTACTTCCATTTAAATTTTGATAAATCTGAAGTAGGATATTTATGAATCTGATGTTGAGTACTTCCTCCCTGGCTGTTAAGTCTCATAACCATCTAAATAATAAAGTCAAAATTATTTTTGTGGTAAACAATATTGGACAAGCTTCTGCATCATACAACAATCTTGGATCATAGAACAATACCTATCAGCCACTTTCAAGTTCACTGAGGTGTTGTAGACTAAACAAAACTATCATATCTGAAAATGCAGATAGTTGTCAACATGAAAATAGTACTCATACAATTCTGATCTATATAGACGAGGAGTTTCGTAGATAGTATGTGTTAAATATTTTGTACATGTAGTGTACGGGAAGGGATCGAATCGATAAATGAATCTGTCTTTCATATTTTTAACGAACGTCACTATGAACGAATGTGAATTTAGTATTATCCATAAAATTTATTAGAAAATTCCAAAGGAGTACTCTAAGTAGATTAGAATTTTTGTTGTAGTTTCCCATAAAAGTATATCCAGAAATAGCGTAAGGTCGATTAAATATGAGAGATTTCATATAGATATGATCAGTTAACAGTACAACTCACTTAGGTGGAATGAAGATTGATTTAATTTACGAAATCAACAGACTTTCTGAAAATTCCAGTATGTTCTCTTACTTTTAACCATCTTGTTAGATATGGGAGAACGGAAAGTAAACCAGTGATACGACAACTGGATAGCTACTTTATTCTCTGCAACCCAGTTCAGCTAACTAGAGAAAGAAGTACAAAGTCAAAAAGGAGATTGTTTAATCCATAAGCAATCCCGAGAGAACAAATTAACAAGCATTCCATTCAGTTGTAATTTATACAGCACAAAAAGTAAAGTGTCTTTCGAAGAGTTACAAAGTAGCACGCTAAAACAATAAAAAACTTAACCAATGTGGTTTAATGCCCTTTCAACTGAGAAACATGAACTGAAATATAACAAGAGGTGTTTTTGTCGCGAAGATAAGGAATTCAAGTGTCCAAAATAAGGAGTTTTAGCAGATCGATTTCCCAAAAATATCTTTACTTATATTTTTGATGAACTGAGTAACTAGTGCAATTATAATGCTTAACGTTTATGCATCGTTTTATCACTGAACAGTGTGAAAGTATGCATTATTTAAACTCGAGCTATTACTGTCAGTGTATGAATCTAAGTAGATAGACTTTGGTGTTTCTGTATGACTGGCTTATTTAACTTCGTAAATATATTTGGACACATGCATACACAGTATAATGTGTCAAAGGTTGGAATATATAAAGTTTGTGTAAAAAGATGTTCGCCCGAAAGCTTCAATTGACTTTTCTGTTTCCTTTGATAAGTTCATAAATATTAATTTTGGGAATTATGAAAATACATTTTGCCTGTGTAACTGAACATTTATTTCATTGCTTAGAATTAAAAAGACTGTATTTTTTTATTTTATTATTTCATTACAGAAGCCTAGATCATTAGTTCAACCGACAAAATGTATATATGATTTTCCAACAAAACGTCTTTTATTAATGCGTGAATCGAAAGATCGACATCAAAGAGGTAAATATGATGCACCATTGTTAAGTTCATTTTTTCTGTTAACATTTAGTAATTTAATATTTAGGTTTTCCCTCTTGTTTTTATATATATATATATATATATATATATATATATATAGAGAGAGAGAGAGAGAGAGAAATGTTACTTCAAAATTCATTTATCATAAATAAAAAGAAATTCATTTTTTTAAAATAATTTCAATTGAGGTCAATGGTCACTTTTATCTTTCTTTTACAAATGTGTTATTTTTCTGTTGAACTGTTTGATATATCTGGAGCATGTTTTATGTCAGGTTCTTTTTGTCTCTCTCTCTCTCACTCAAATTATATGTTTTTTACAAATAGGGGCAAGATTTATTATCCAAATTTTAAAATGTTATTCTTAGTTTTTTTTTAAAAAATTGAGGGTGAGCTAAAATATTTAGATGATTATTAGTTTTATTGCAGCTGTCTTTGAAGTCTTTAAAAATTTACTGAACAATTTGCACAACTCTCTCATGTAAATTATCATTTGTTCACCAGTGACGTGTTCCGAGTTCTAGTGAGAAGTCGTGATCAGTGGAGTTCAAACCTCATCGAGTGTGAAGCAGTTGTTACAGAGGTTAGTAGATGAGGTTGCTAAAGACCATGGATTAATAAAATTTAGACATTAACACCGTTGGGTACCAGCTCAATGACCAGAGTAAAGGTGTTCGCGCGCAAGAACGAAGGTTCTGGGTTCGAATCCCGTGAGCTGCGAGAGTCGTCGATGCACACTGCTGATGAGTCCCAACCTAAGACGTCCAATGCTTCCACGTTTCTAATAGTGGCCTCAAAAAAGCAAGTAATACCTGCAGTTATCGGGAGAAACAATTTCATCTAATAACTGATAATGAGTAACTCCGAACGTTTTATGTGTTATATTTTATAGTATCTCAAACTTTTAAAATATACTTAATTAATATATCTACAGTGATTCAGTTTTTAAGAATATTTAGCTGACTAAATTGTTACATTCTGTTACCATAAACTACATTTTAAATACCTAGATCACTGCACTGTTGCTCATTTATACGAATTCAACAAGGAAAGTCGAATGTTAGAAACGCATCAATTCTGATCCGAATCACGATTCAATATTATAAACCGCCAATATTCTACAATTTTGCAAAAAATTGGTAGATTAGTGAACCGTGCCTATGACTGTAGAACTATTGATCATTAACTCTCAATACTGATTGACGTGCACTTGATAAATAATACATCTATCAGTTATGATTATGATGATTAGTTATATTTCTGCATGAATATCCTTGTTTATATTTGGTATTATGGTTTGGTTGATTAAAACAAATAGTTGAATAATTTTGAATTTGTTAACTTAATTAAAAGGAAACTATTAGTGAAAGCAAATAAAATCAATTTATAATTTATTAAAAATATTATTTTTGCTTAATTATTTTTTAATCATATAAAATAATATTATTCTGATAATACAAAATACAGAATACACACCAGTAGACAAAAGTGATCAGCTTAATACGAATTCATAGATAAGAGTATTGCGATAAATGTACACTTTTTTACGAAATTACGATTTCTAATTTACTTCAAGTGTAGCATTTAGAACGTAACTTTTAGCTATATGAAATATGAAGTGTATGCTGAATTTCGTAAGCATGAATTCAGTGATTATACCATAAAACATTACTGTTTGTATACACTGTACAGTAAAAATAAACTTAGAACACCACATATAAGAGAACAGTATTGTTGTTTTCGATTCGATCGTCATCAGGTTTTACTCTCTAATATACACGAGGCAATTCACGAGTCGATAATCACAATGAAATGAGATGGATTACGTCACTACACATAGTAGGCAAAAGTACAACTTGATAATACGAAGACAAGTGTACTGATAGTAGTAAGAATAGTAGTAAAAATAAACTTAACAAGAATACATTTGTTATCAGTGTACATAATGTTATCTTATGATAGAGCTGATGGAAATATAAAGAATACGACATAAGTTTTATGATAAACGGTATAACATACTCATACAAGATATATGAAAGATTCTAAAAACTGGAACGTCATGTTTATTAGCTCGTAAAGTTACATAAAAGAGCATTGTAACTGAAACTGAAAAGCATAATAGGTTTAGTCTCTTGAAAAATTAAAATTCAACGTAATGATAGCAGAGTGATAGCTGATGACGGAACTCGACCAGATCGATACCGAGATGGGAACACGCGGATTAATTCGAATGTCTATGAAGTTTCATTTTTGTGCATATTCTTTCTTTTAACTTATCATCACAGGAGGCGGAATTGGTATGCGCATCGTTGGTGGACATATTCGATCCGATGGGAATTTAGGAGCATTTGTTGAAGAAATCTACCCATCTGGCCCAGCTGATCAACTTCATGGCGAGATAAAAGAAGGTAATTTATATGAAAGTAAAATTATTTACTATTGATTTATTGCCATTGTAAAGTTCTGATGAATAAGTTGTTGTGTGCGTAAATGAATACTTATTGATAAATATAGATCATTCTTGTATGTCAACGCATTATGAAATTAGAAAAGCACATGTAAGCGAACAATATTGTTGTTTTCGATTAGATCGTCATCAGGCTTTACTCTATAATATACATGAATATTTATATATGAAAATGTTAAACCAATCAAGGAAATTTGAGTCAATAATCATCACAATGAAATGAAATAGAGATTACATCACTACACATAATAGGCAAAAGTACAAAACTTGATAGTAAGAAGACAGGTGTGTACTGATAGTAGTAAGAAAATTATAAAATACGACAACTAAAGTTGGAATCTTTAAATTGCTATGTAGTGTGGTATCTTTTTTTAACAGATTTGCAACAGTTATGACAACGTGACTTCATCAATAAAAGATGTTTAATAAAAACTTTTCACAGGAAATTTCGACTTGTATTGTATGCTAGATAAATCTGTCCATGTAATGAAAGACCAATCGATTTTGACAATTTATTTGCTATTGAAAAGTTTAATGATTCATATCATTGATTGCCTCATTTGTCAACCGTGTTAACCTGATGAGACTAATTTGAAAAGCTTTTTATAACATTGGCAAAACTAGTACACTCAATGTGTTAATCCAACTATTAACCTAGTACACAATAGTCCCTGCTTTGACACTGTACGACGTTAAAAGAATCACACATTATTTCAAATGAAATTTATGGAATTCTAATCATATGAGCAGATGTGATAATTCCCACTTAGATCAAATACGATGAATGTAAGGAGGATTATTTGAATTTAGGTTTCTCTAAAAGCACATAAACTGATTAGTTGGTTTGACATAAAGAAAAAAACAAACCATTCAATGTCATGAAATAACTTTTTCGTTTTTGTGAAAAATAAAGTATGAGAAAACTCTGACATAAACAGAATAGAATAAAAAATTTTATCTACTGACTTGATCTGTTTTGTCCAGGAAAGATTCTTTTCTTTTGTTGAAATGACTAAACTAAAAAAAGACAACAGAATTTTTTTTTTCTAACAAAACTGGGAACAAAACTAATCAATATATTATCCCATAATGGTATATCAACGAATCCGACAAAAAAACTTTTAATTATATCATCAGTATGGGGATTTGGAAATTCTTAAATTTCTCTTGAAATTACGAATTGATCTAGTCTAGACAGTCTGGGAGCTGTTTCGTACTAGTATAGGACTCCTCAGGAATGGGCATCCACGGCTGAAAGTTAACTTCCGGACATTCAGTTTCAAATAGTTATCAGAATGTAACAGACACATTAGTTCTGCATTACTATTCTTGTTTACTTCTTCTTTCAGTTTAATTTGAAATTGAATTTCGTACTTCTTGCCATCGATCGAAATACAATCCCCTATAGATTATACTCTTTGTTATTCTAAACTTGAAATTCATATCTGTTTGGTTACATAACGTATTACTGTTAGTTGATTAGGTAATGAACTATTTGAATGCGATACGAATTGCATAATCAGTAAATGTTTCTCTGAATTTAAAGAAAGTGATGAAATTTTTTCAATCGAAATGAAGAGGTGTCGGCTAATGGTGATTATCTAGTGTTAGGATATTTTAGATAACTGAAAAACAATCAGCATACAATCTTTGAAAGGAAATAGAGATTGTGAGACGAAGAAAAATACTTGTAGTTCATCAAGAAAGTCTGACTGTCTTGGTCTTTAAGCTGGATAGATTGGTTGTGAATCTTCCACTGTGGTTATGCAAGATTTTTGTTGTTGGTTGATAGAGTTGATCGATTTCGATTTGTCTGCTGACTGACTCTGAATTAAAATGCCTTTGCACTCTTCGTTTGTGTCCATATGAAAGCCAGTTAACTATCAATACATCTGGATAACTAACAGCGTCCTGATTATGTCTACAGTATACAAACTTTAAATATGATTTCTGATTCTGCCGATGGAACTGAGAGTCACAAATATCAAAATGAAAAAATGTTATCCGCTCGAATTAGTTTATAGTATTTCTTGAGGGCTTCCAGTGAAGGAAACGATAACAGAACGAGAATGCCTTGAAATAGATTATCTGTGACTGTGTCCACTTCAGACAAAATCTTCAGCACTAATAACTTGCTTACCGTAGTTCAGAATTATCAAAATGTTCGTTATTGCATAAATTATAAGGTCTTATATGATGATCGAATCCTTCATAACCAATAAGATCACTTCTACAGGTTTAAGTAGTGCCAGGTAAAAGGTGTGTGGAAACTTTCGTTTGTGGCTGGGTTGGTCACTGTTCAGTTAAGAATACTAGTTTTAAATTACAATGAGTTTAATATTATACGTAAACATAAGTTCGATTAGGAAAATATCGAAACACTAGACAAAAGAAATGTGAAGAAAGTCGGTAAATAATTTTGAAGCTTAGCACTAATTAGGCATCAATCAGTAGACAAATCGAAATCGATCAGTTCTATCAACCAACAATAAAAACGTTTCATAATCAATCACATGGTCAGTATTCAAATTAGGAGAGCAAGCAACCAAATTAAACATAGAACAATGATCACACAGCTGTAAATAACAACCAACCAAATTTCAAACCAATTGAACAATCTTTTAGATAATTATGGAGAAGCTCTAATATTTCACATTTCTTCGAAGTGTGTGTGTGTGTGTTGATGATGTTGTTCGAAAGAATAATGGAAGCTTCACAACCAATTCATCCAGCTTAGAGACCATAATATCTTCGACGCAAGAGAGGTGAAGAAACTGTTTTATAGTTCGATCTTTATGACTTCTTAGTTTAGTACCCGTATACTCTTCCTCATAAGAACATATTCTAGACTGGTAATTCAAATTTCTGCAAGAAACAAGAATCCAGTGTCCATTCATCCAATCGTTATTCAGATCATGTCAATCTTTAATGATCAATTTTCAATCTGTATTCATACCATATATATGTGTCCTAGGTCATCTTGTGCTCTTTATATTTTGTTCTAATTTAAGGTGAATAAATTAGTTGTTTTTTTTTCAATTTGTAACGTAAGAATAATAAAATGTTACAAAAAATATCAATCAATAAAATAAAATAACGAAATGGGAAAAAAACATCAATAAAATTACAGAAATAAAACGGAATAACCCTAGATTTTGTTTTAATAAAAGCATTAAGTACATTGAAAGGAAAAACAAAGAAAAACAACTGAATCAATATAAACAAAGAAGAAAGAAAATTCAAAAACTTTCGATTATTGATTTCAATCTCTAGCAAACATTTCATCCAGAATCATAGTGTTTAGCCTAAAATAATATCTAAAATAATTATGTTGGGGATGTTAGATCCCTAGAACTCACTTGATAAAGGTCTTAATTTCGGGTTTTATTCGTTGGCTAATCAGTTAACATTGAGATCATATTTTTCACCAGGAAAATCCTTGGCTGTGATTGGTTACTGTGTTATTTTAGTATGCTAATTTTGTGACCCTCCTAAGGAGGTTTCTATGATGTATAAACAAACGCGATTTGTGTGCTTGATATCATTGTTTTTTCTGGGTTTTTGTAGAATACACTTTTCTATACCATATCAAAACTTTTTCTTCAGTTAGTTGGGTCGACGAATCGGGGTAGCCTATCGTGTCACTGGGTCACTGTCCCGTTCTCGCTTGTCGACTAAGGTAAACTCGTAATAGTTTCAAGCATATCAACGGACAAACATAACAAATTAGTCCCTTTGATAAATTTAAGAAGACGACAGTTATCGGAACCATAAGACAAAATTAGTTTAAGACATTTCAAACAAACTTATCATACATACACTTTTTTAAGAACAGTTATATATGTGACAAATTTTAAACCGGTCAACTCAACAAATCGAAGATAAAAGAGAAAACATAGATGATGATCATAAGAATAAAGGGAATAATGTGGAAATCACTACTATGGATGATAAAACACAATCTAACCAGTATGATGAATGCGCGACACAAAGTGGCAGATAGATTGCATGCAGCAGAGCGTCGCCTATCACAAACACAGAGAAAGAGAGACAGTAGTGTCTAGCGATCAGAATGCACGGTACAATTAAAATATTTTGAATATCAGAAAAGAATTGAGGAAAGACAATCAAAAAGTTGCTTGTACTGCAAGTGGATGTCTAAAGATTAGGTGTATCTATTTAGTAAAAACTGTCGTCCAATAGTGGTCTAACAATTTCAATGTAAAACAACAATCTTCATAACTCTGTAATGAAAATTTAGATTTTGATGAGTTCCAAAATATAACACAGTACAAATATTTGAGTCCCAGTGGTAATGTATTCTGAATTCAGTCAGTTGAATTGCCCTTGAATTTCAATGTAACTTATCAACCGACTATAGATTGAAAAAAAAAATTGGTTTTAAGTTAGAATTTTAGCGTGAGCGCTAATAATACTGCTTGACTGTGATGTGTGATTCTAATTACTAAACTCATACTCACGGCCTTAGTTAGACATTCTATGAATAACCGGGAATAACTGGATAGATGTATAATCTACTTGCGAGATTTATCATCAGTGCACATCCACAAACCCAGAACTTCCAGGTCTTGTATTCTTGAAAGATGGTCACGTGATATTAAAGTCTTACGTTCTGTTTTTTAGTAGGTTGTTAAAATACACTGTTGAAGAGTTCAGTACCAAGATGAAATAGCCGTTCAATACTTCTTGCGTTTACCTGTATAAGATCACTTTATGATGTACACTGATTTGTACACTTGATCTTGAGTCAATCTACTTTTACAACAGCCATTGATAATACTTCGATAATACTTGGTTAGTCAAAATTGAATTAAATAACTTCGTTTTCTTGAATAGCAGTTATACTTAGAGTTTAAATTTAAGCAAAACGTTTTGGAAATACCTATTCTGTATCAGTGAATAATGTTCACGACATATAACGTGATATTTCTTTCCCCTGAATATAAATTTTGTTCAATTTTTAAATTAGGTACATCTATTTATACCTTTTTTTATTCTTGAATGATTGATTATATATCAG